GGAGAGACGAGGTGAGAGAAAGAGAAAGAGAGACCGACGAGGTGAGAGAAATAGCAAGAGAGAGACGAGGTGAGAGAAAGAGAAAGAGAGAGCGACGAGGTGAGAGAAATAGAAAAGAGAGAGACGAAAGTGAGAGAAAGAGAGGCAGTGAAAGCGAGAGAGAGACAGAGTAACAAAGAAAAAGAGAGGGAGAGAGAGGGGAAAAGAAGAAAAAAAAATTCAAAACACCAACAAAACACACACAAATAAACACACACACGCAAGAAAAAACAAAACAAAACAAATCAATAACAGAAAGAAAAAAAAACAACTCACAATATCTGCAGCAAATTCAGAAAAATCACTTGTTTCACCCCTCCCCTCTCGCCCCCCTCCCCCGTCCCCCGGTGAGGTCACTTGGTTTAATCATATGGTCTACAGGCCTGTCATCCCTCTCCCCGTCCCCCCGCCGTCGCACCTGCTTGTAGCCGGCATAGCTGTTCCACGCATGTGGGCATCCGTCGGGTTCCGCAGTCCATCGGCACCCAGCGACGGGGTGCCGTGTGCAGACTGCGCAACGTTGACTGTGGTGAAGGGTATTTTTCGATTTGTTTACTTTGTTTTCTAATTTAAATGTATGTTTGGGTATATACGGGTCTACATGGGATGTGGTAGAAGTATGAAATGTCAGATCCTGCTTATAGAGAGGAATTTATTTAAAAATTCATATAGGCACACTCACTCAAGATACACACACACGCCACACCATACACACAGACACACACACAAGAAAACACATACACAAACACACACACACACACACACACACACATCTCACACACAAAAAAACATACACAAACACACATACACACACACAAAAAAAACAAACACACAACACACACACACACACACACGCACGCTTAAACACGCACACGCGCATATAACCGCACACATACGCCCCACCGAGGCTGTGATTACGCATTTTGACGCCTCTGTGCCACCTCCTTCCCCTCTCCCCCTCGCGGCCACCCGCTGGGACCCCCCGCGAGGCTGGAGAGGGGGCCAGGCAGAGGGATTATGGGGTCCCTTCGCGTTTTAGATTTAGGCTTCGGGTCAGGCGTCGGGGTCCTCCGCTCGGGGTGGGGTCATACACACACATGATGTATACATGTGCGTGTGTTTGTATGTTTATATATATGTATAGATAAAGATATGAAAAAAAAGAATTAATATATATATTTATGTATGCATGTATGTATGTGTATGTATGTATGTATATATATGTATATATATATATATATATATATATATATATATATATATATATAATATTTATTTATTTATTTATTTATATATTTGTATATATGTATGTGTGTTTGTGTGTGTCAGTGACTTCTTTTTATATTGCATTTTTCTATTATTACTCTAATATTTTCGTTACGACCATTCAGAGTGAACTGGTGACAGCTTTGAACTCTCTGTTACCAAAGACTCCTTTTACAAAGCATCTGTCCGATGTATGTTTTTATTTCCGTCTTTTTTTCTATATTTTCTCTCTCTTTCGCTCTGTCTCACATCTCTCTCTCTCTCTCTTTCTCTGTTTCTCCCTCTTTCTTTATCTTTATGTGTGTGTGTCTCTCTCACTCACTCTTTCATTGTCTGTCTGCCTGTCTGAATGACTCTCTCTCTCTCTCTCTCTCTCTCTCTCTCTCTCTCTCTCTCTTCTCTCTCTCTCTCTCTCTCTCTCTCTCTCTCTCTCTCTCTCTCTCGTCTCTCTCTCTCTCTCTCTCTCTCTCTCTCTCTCTCTCTCTCTCAATCTCTAGTTGACGCTATTGTCGATATTTCCACTGAAGCAATAAATAAACAAGCGTCCGCCGGTCTTTTGTAGAGCGCACACAAGCAGCGGCAGAGAGAAATGCATCAACAATATATTACCAATCTTTATTGCCCCCTTCAGTGATTCTCTCCTCAACCCCCTCCTAAGTCTAACTTCCCTTCCTTTTTTCCCCCTCGTCCTCCTGCTCCCTCCTCCTCCCCCTTCGTCCTTTCCTTTTTCTTCTGTGTCTCCCTCTTTTTCCCCCCTGATCCTCCCCCCTCTATCCCCTCCTTCCCTCGTTCTCCACCTTCTGCCCCTCCTCCCATTCTTATTGTCTTCCATCTCTCACATGCTTCATTGTCTCTCTCCCTTTACGAGTTTCGTTGAATACAATGCCACAGTAATCTTGGATTTGATGTCAGAAGCGGTACACACACGCCATTGGAGGAGGGAAGGGCGACTGACGAGAATGGACGGCGTCTGGGGAGAAGGGAAGGCGTCTGAAAAGAAGGGAACGGCGTCTGATGAGGAGGGGCGACGTCCGTGGGGGAGGGAAGACGTCTGGTGAATAGGGAACGACACTGATGTGGAGGAAACGGCGTCTGATGAGGAGGGGTGACGTCCAGGGGGGAGGGAAGACGTCTGGTGAGTAGGGAACGACACTGATGTGGAGGGAACGGCGTCTGATGAGGAGGGGTGACGTCCGTGGGGGAGGGAAGACGTCTGGTGAGTAGGGAACGACACTGATGTGGAGGGAACGGCGTCTGATGAGGAGGGGCGACGTCCGTGGGGGAGGGAAGACGTCTGGTGAGTAGGGAATGACACTGATGTGGAGGGAACGGCGTCTGATGAGGAGGGGTGACGTCGGGGGGAGGGAAGACGTCTGGTGAGTGACCTGATGTGGAGGGAACGGCGTCTGAATGAGGAGGGTGACGTCCGTGGGGGAGGGAAGACGTCTGGTGAGTAGGGAACGACACTGATGTGGAGGGAACGGCGTCTGATGAGGAGGGGTGACGTCCGTGGGGGAGGGAAGACGTCTGGTGAGTAGGGAACGACACTGATGTGGAGGAACGGCGGGTCTGATGAGGAGGGGTGACGTCCGTGGGGGAGGAAGACGTCTGGTGGTAGGGAACGACACTGATGTGGAGGGAACGGCGTCTGATGAGGAGGGGACGTCCGTGGGGAGGGAAGACGTCTGGTGAATAGGGAACGACACTATGTGGAGGGAACGGCGTCTAATGAGAAGGTGACGTCGTGGGAAGGAAGAACGTCTGGAGTAGAACGACACTGATGTGGAGGGAACGGCGTCTGACGAGGAGGGAATGGCGTCTGGGGGAAAAGTGAAGACGTCTAAGAAGGAGGGATAAGGTCTGAAAAGAAGGGAAAACGTCTAAAGTGAAGAGAACATCGTCTGATAAGGAGGAATGGCCTGACAATGGCGTCCGGAGATGAGGGATGGCGCCGAAAGGAGAAGCGAACGGCATCTGACAAGATGAGACGTCTAAGAAGATGTGACGACTGAGGAGAAAGACGTGACGTCCGAGTTACAAGTATGACGTCTGAGGAAATATGACGTCAGAAGGAGGCAGATGACATCACTGGAGAAAGGGTGGCGTCTCGTCATTGTGAGAGATCGGTTGAGCAGCGATACGAGCGTCGACGTCTCAAGGGATTTATCGTATCCATTGTTCTAGAAGCGCTCTATCCCGATGATTATTGCATTTTTCTCCTTCATTAACATTTTCTTTTTTCTTTTAGGTGGATGGAGGGATGGGGGGGGGGGAGGCTGATATATGAGAAGACTCGAATCGATATTTTCTAATTATCTCCTAGATGTTTTTTATAAAAATTTTGGTGCATTAAGACCCCGAAGAAAGAGGAAAGAAAAATGACTCGCGATATGGGTTTTATAGACAGAATGTAAAGAACAAGGAAGATTTCAGAACAAGAAAGATATCACAATATATATATATATATATAATATGCAAAAAACATCCTAAACAAAACCGTTCCCCCATCGTTCCTTACTGAAAAAATATGTGGTAAAGAAAGCAACCAGCAAGCCAAAATATTGCAGTACGCATATATTATAAACATGAACCAAATGTACATGTGTGTATGTCTGTGTGTGCACGCACACACGTAAGCAGTCATGCACACACACAGAGTCACACACACACGCACACACACACCAATATATAAAATGTATATACATATATAATATATATATAGATATATATATATATTATATATATATATAATATATATATATAGATATACATATATTAATGTAATATTATAATATATATAGATATATATTATATATAGTATATGTGTGTGGGTGGTGTGTGAGTGTGTGTGTGTGTGTGTGTGTGTGTGTGTGTGTGTTGTGTTGGTGTGTGTTGTGTTGTGTGTAGGTGGATGTGTGATTTATAATATATATAAGTATGATGTAAAATATATGTAACATATAGGTATTATAATAAATTATAAAATATATATATAAAATGTATAATTAAAAATATATATATATTAATAGTATATATTATAATACCACATATATATATCACGATAATAGAAATAAATATGGGTATTATAAGACAAGCTAAATATATATGCATTACACCTCACAAGAAAAAAGTGAGAGCTGGAGCTTTACTTCACACGGAATCCTGTGACAACTTTGGCCATCTGGCGATTGGCATTTCGTGACGTCTATATACGTCGCCAGCGCCGGAGAAACGATTCACTTTGCATTATAGATTTCGTCTTACGAAAGGCATCAGAGAAATTAACAGAGACATTCTTGCAATCATGCGCCTGGAAGGAAGGAATCATTCGAATACTGAATTGTATCATGTTGAAAAGCCATACCTTTTGGCGATAGCAATCTCCCAGAAATCAGCATGCGTACAAACATACATACATATTTACAAACATATGCATATACATACATACTATATATATATATATATATATATATATATATATATATATATATATATATATATATATATATATATATATATATATATATGTGTGTGTGTGTGTGTGTGTGTGTGTGTGTGTGTGTGTGTGGTGTGTGTGTGTGTGTGTGTGTGTGCGTGTGTGTGCGTGTGTGTGTGTGTGTGCGTATATGTTTGCGTGCGTGTGTATGTTTGTGTGTGTGCGCCTGTGTGTTTCTATACGTAAAGAGTGTATACGCATGCGTCTCTGTATCTGCACGTGCACGTCCGCCCAGTGTCTCCCAGGAAAGCGAAAAGAGCTTCAGCATCAGCATCAGCCTCAGGATCAATATCAGCCTCAACATCAGCTTCAGCATCAGCATCAGCCTCAGCCTCAGGATCAGCATCATCAGCCTCAGGATCAGCCTCAGAATCAGCCTCAGCATCAGCCTCAGGATCACATCAAGCCTCAGGATCAGCCTCAGGCAGCCATCATCCAGCCTCAGCCTCAGCCTCCAGATCCAGCATCATCAGGATCAGAATCAGCATCATCAGCCTCAGCCTCAGCCTCAGCCTCAGATCTCATCATCATCTCAGGATCAGCCTCAGGATCAGCAGCTCAGATCAGCTCAGCACAGCAGCCTCAGCCTCAAGCTCATCAGCCATCTCCTCAGCCTCAGAATGCTCCCCGAGCTCCGTCTCGCCGCCGTTCCCCCGGCAGCAGCCGCCCGCGCCCACCCAGCAGCGGAGGAGACCCGGAGAGCGGAGAGGAGAGCGCGCCCCTGCCCAGTCAGCCATCTGGGGCTTCCCACACGCCGCGTATTGTTCGCCTCCAAGATGCATTAGCGATTAATTCCTTTTCTTTCCTTTATCACGCATTCTTCCTTTTCCGGGACGGGGAGGAATAGGGAGGAAGAATACGAGGGGAGAGGGGATGAGGGAGGGGGTGGGGGAGGGGGAGGAAGGAGATGGGTGAGGGAGGAAGTAGAGGGAAATGAGAAGGAGAAACGTGGGATGATTGTGAGCGAAAGAGAAAGATAGGAAGTGATAGATAGATAGATAGATAGATAGATAGATAGATAGAGAGAGAGAGAGAGAGAGAGAGAGAGAGAGAGAGAGAGAGAGAGAGAGAGAGAGAGAGAGAGAGAGAGAGAGAGAGAGAGAGAGAGAGACAGAGAGAAAGAAAGAAAGAAAGAGAGAGAGAGAAAAAGAAAAGTGATGTCAAATGTCAATTAAAGGATATGGATAACAGAACAGTAGGTAACCGATAAAATATAAGGATAAAAATAGATCGATGGTAAATGAGAAAGATTGAAAAGGAAAAAAATGTGAACAATTTGGGAAAGAAGGAAGGCTGAAAGGGCGGAAAAAAAGTAAAAAAAAAAGGGGGAGGGAAAGATAGTTTGGTGGAAGAGTGGACGGAGGATGGACGTAGGGGAGAAAGAGTGGAAGGGAGGAAGAATGGAAGAATGGAAAAGGGAAAAGTGGAAGGAGGAAGAGTGAAAAGATGAAAAAAATAAGATGGAGCAGGCGAAGAATGGAAGAAGAATCAAAGGATAGAAAAGGGAAACGTGAAAGGAAGAAAGTGGAAGGAGAAAGACTGAAAAAATGAAATGGCGTAAGAATTAAAAAAAAAAAAAAAGCGGAATAAGAGAGGAGTAAAAGGAGGAAAACTGAAAAGATAAAAAGGTTAAAAGATAAAAAAAAAAAAAAAAAATAACAGAGGAAGAGTGAAAAGAGGAAGACTAAAAAAATAAATAAAAAGAAAATAGAGGAAGAGTGGAAGGGTGGAAGAGATAACGGGTGGAAGGGAAGGAGGGCGGATGGACCCCGTCAGCGTGATGCAGTTCGAGTATGCTGACGTCGCGGGAGTATTGTCAGCCTAAACCCGCGTTCGCCCCCGTCGCTAGCTGCCTTATGCCGCTGATTCGCCCAAACTGGGGTCTCGCTCATTCTCTTCTCTCCGTTGTGGCTGTTCTCTCTTCTCTCTGTTCTCTCTCTCTCTTCTCTCCGTTCTAGCTGTTATCTCTTCTCTCTGTTCTCTCTCGTCTTCTCTCTCTCCTTGCTGTTCTCTCTTCTCTCTGTTCTCTCTCTCTCCTCTCCGTTCTGGCTGTTCTCTCTTCTCTCTGTTCTCTCTCTTCTTCTCTCCGTACACACAAACTCTTTGGGGTTGTCATGTCGTCTCCCTTTCTTCTCTTCTGTCTCCGTTTTATCTTCCTCTGTCTCCTTTTTAATTCCGTCTCTCTGCGTTTGTCCTTTGTTTCTGATTTTTGTGTTCTGTCTCTTCTTTTTTGTTTGGCTCTATCTATTCTTTTTCGTCTGCTTGTCTATTTCTCTTGTCTCGGTCTCTGCATCTGTCTGTGTCTCTGTCTCTTAATACTTTTGTTTGTCTTTCTGTCTGTTTGTATGTCTCCCCTCCTCCTCTCTTTTTTTGCTTTCTCTTTCCTTTATCTGCCTGTCTTCTCTCTCTCTCTCTCTCTCTCTCTCTCTCTCTCTCCTCTCTCTCTCTCTCTCTCTCTCTCTCTCTCTCTCTCTCTCTCTCTCTCTCTCTCTCCTCTCTCTCTCTCTCTCTCTCTCTCTCTCTCTCTCTCTCCTCTTTCTTCTCTCTCTCTCTCTCTCTCACCTACTTTTACTTTCTCTTTCTCTCTCCTCTCTTACTTTCTTTCTCTCTTTACCTCCCTCTTCCTCTCTGTCATCTGTCTCAATCGCCCTCCCTATCATTCCTCTATTCTTCTTTCCTCTCGCTTTCTCTCCTACCCCCTATTTCTTACTCGCTCTACTATCTCTTCATCACCATCATTCACTTCTTCCTTTCTCTTCTCCTTCCTTATCTCTCTTCCCTCCTCCTTCTCCTCTCTTTTATTCTAACTTCCTTCCCTATCTCCTCCACTCCCCTCCTCTCTTTCCCCTTTTCCTCATCCCTATCTCTCTCTCCCTCTTTCTTTCTCTCTCTCCTCCTTCACTATTTTCCTCCCTGTCCATCTGTTTCTCACTCCTTCTTCTCTATTTCCCCCACTCTCCCCTCTCTCTTTTTCCTACCCTACATCCCTTCCTCCCTCCCTCTCTCTTTCTCTATCTCCTCCTTCCCTATCTCCCTCCCTCACTAATTTTTCCTCCTCACTATCTCCCTCCCTTCCCTCCTCTTCCCTCTTCTCCTCCTTCCCTATCTCCCTCCCTGCCTCTTCCTCTTCTCCTTCCTTCCCTCTCTCTCCTCCTTCCCTATCTCCCTGTCTCCCTCTTCCTCTTTTCCTTCTTCCTTCCCCTCTCTTTTCTTCTCTCCTCTCTCCCTCTCTCTTCTCTCTCCCCTCCTTCTCTCCCT